TTTGTAAAGTATTGCCGCCATGAAGATTTGTATGTATATATTCCGAATTATGAGTTAATACGTATAGCAGTGAGCTGCTAATATGGCTTTAGTATAGATATATACATGTAGTATTAATTAAGAATATAGACTGAGGCAGTAGTTAAACGGTTATATTAACTGAAAAATAAGGTTATTGTTTAAGAATTTACGTTAATAGAAAGTAAAATTTTTGAAAATTTCCCTTTTGACAGGTGCAAATACGAGTAATAACCAGAGAATATATAAGGTAGGGTCGGATATTTGACGCACTTACGTTTTTTGGTATCTTGCGATACACTGATCAGAATCAAACAATTTTAGTAACATTCGATTCGTTTTACTGAGACGAATCGAATGATACAAAAATTAATCAAGATTTGAGGGAGGGTTAGACGTTATCGTTATTGTGTAGCTCTTACGTTATTTTCTCTTTTTTCCTATCTGAGCAATTTCAGGGGGCTAGTGTAAATAGAATTTTGCTAAATTTAGATAATTAACACTGAGGTCTAATCGGTTATACGTATATAGTGCACCCCAACAAAAAAGATAGAAATATATTATAATGATGTACCCTAACTCGAAGACGGTAGTTATTTCATAAGTTCGCTACGATGAATATGGGATGCTTATAATTGTTGATTAAACAAGTGAAAAATACTATTCTATTCTATGCAACTATTGCTATTGTTCTGATCATTGGTAAAAAAAGAATACTGATTATAATAATGACATATTCGATGGCGACGAGTTTATATTATGAATCTGAAATACTTATTCTCTTTTTTTTTTTTTTTAACGAATTCTGAAAATTTATGGTTTCTAAAACAAAACTTAATATCGAAGGTATATCAATCTTGGTTTATCCTTTTTGTTAAAAATAAAATAAAATAAAATAAATAATCTAAGCAAAGGTCATGGGAATATGGACTTTTAAACATCAGATATTGTTGACGGGCCTTAGGGATTGAGAACGCTCTAAACAAACTATACAATAAATGTAAAATGCTTAATTTATAGTTTTATCGCATGTATATCAGTTTATATTTTAGTTTTCACGGTTTCAAAAATACAGTCATGGGTATTGTCGACATCACTAAGTCTTACAACCCTAATAAAACTTTCTATGTACTTTTTTTTATTTATACTTCGTAGTTTTATTTTTTTTAAAAAAGTACTTAAGCTATATAAATATTGTAAAATTAAATATATAGGCAAATATGGCTTCTCAAGGATTTCGTTTTCGTATATTTAAGCCATGTAAGTAACGTCGAAATGTTTTTGAAGAAACCTGAAGATCTGTATTATTTTTGTTCCAGGTTTCTGTTAATTGTTCTAACGAACTTTCCCGGTTACTTGATGCCAAAAGTTCTACACGTGGTAGATCCATATTGCCAATTATTGGATTTCTTCCTGTACGTTTTTTTGGCAATAGATCACCTGTTTCTTTCCATCTATTAACCACATTTGCGACACAATCTTTTGATTTTCCTATTAATGCTGAAATGCGTCGAAATGAGGCTTCTGCACGGTGCATGCCAATGATTTGCCGGCATTCTTCTGCTGTTGGTTCTGTTCCTCTTGGCATTTTTTTAGTTCAAAATTTTTTATAAAAAATAATTTTTTTTTTTTTTTGTAAAAACGATTTAATTTGGTAAGTGCTTGAAATTTTATAACGTTAATCTTTATTTAGAATATATCGATATGTAGTACGTATGGCTTAAAACTTTATTTTTATTTGTTAGTGATGCACGTACTAACTGCTAACAGTATTACGGGGTGAATTTAACGTATATTATTAACGGAGAAAGTGGGTTAAGGCAACTCGCCAGAGGTGTGACAATGACGATTTAGCAATCGATTAAAAAATTTTATGCAAAAGGGTTTTATAATTATTTGGGTCACTGCGTAACGTTATGAGTATTCGGGGACTTTTGATCAAACTTTGATAATTTATTGGACCATATTCTTGAGTAGATACTCTACCATTAATGCAAGTTTGGTTATATAATATTATATAACAACTTACTACAATTCTCGTTCAAAGTTTTCAAAATTCTATTTTTATCTTAATTATTAAAATTGATTGAACATCGATATTTCAATTTAAGAAATTTGGCCCGAATACTCATAACGTTACGCAATAACCCATTTTATTGTATTAATTAAACCCGTAGGTTTTTTATTCTATTACAACGGCGAAGCTACAGCATTTTTATAGCTTTCACTATTCTAAGAAACGTAAGAGGCTTTGATCACTGAATTGTTTTTTTTACTACAGCCCAATTTCATTGAGATGCTCTATTTTGTCAAAACTGAAGGGGCTTTTACGAACATGACATTTTGTTTAAGTTATTGTAATGGATTCAAAGTTTTACTTTCATTTTATGATAGAATATTACAGCTATTAAATAACATGTTCTCTTCTTTTGCGTGGTTCTCATTTACGCGTACTAGTTCTTCAGTTGTCGCGTTTGTTTATTGAGGCTGTTTATCATAATTCGGCCGATAAGCCTCATGTGATAACTGAGAATACAAAACCTGTTTGTGGTGGTATCTCCAATTTTTCTTTTACGAAATTTGTGGCGTAATTACCTTTAATTTCGAAAAAATCTTCTGGCTTGTAATTTTACACGTACCAAATATTCTTATCCTGACAACGATAAGAATATTTGGTACAACTAGAAGTCTAGTTCGGCCATTCGAATATTGTATCGCAAAAATAAGATACGTAACGATAATGCATAAAAAAAGAAATTTCAAGAACCGAGGTAAGTAAATTGGTTTATACGATAAGCATTAAATATTCATGATATTTTCGTCGGAGAGACCATTAATTTTTAAGTGTTTAGATAAAATTGCAAATTAAACAATAAGTTCAGGAAAGATGTTGAGTTACTCGATTATTCTATAATATATATATCAAATATACCAAATAAAATTATTGATCACCTGAAATTCAAAATTTAGCTGATACGTAAAATATGAATATCGGAGTAGTTTAAGAAATCAATGATCACTTAATCGAATTTCACAAAATTTTGCAAACCGCAATAATAGAAAGTTAAACCTTAAGAACATTAGTTAGATTGTTCGTTTCTTAATAATTAGCATACCAAATTATGTAAAATGATTTAAGAGTTAAACCCGAAAGCGTAAATCAATAATGATATTTTTTGCTTAATAGGGAGGGTCGGGTATTCTGGCGCACCTAAGAGTTCTAATAGTAAAAATTTTCAGGGAAAGCGTAGTTATCCCTAAGATTTATTGAAATAAACTAAGACAATTTACTACTATCAGTAAAACAAAACAAAGCTTATACTATAAATAAAAAGAATTTTTTCGAACTTCTAAAAACTATCGAAAAACTGTTATGTTTTTTCTTAGCCAGAGGTATTATGGCGCACTACGGATTTACATACTGCAGCATACTGCATAAATTGTATTCTTGATATCTATATATAAGTACAATATTAATTATATCAAAAAAGTAACCTAATCCGAATGTTATATATGACACATGATAAAAGATTATCTGCCATAATTAATGTCAACTCTTTTTACTCTTCTTATGCAAACATTCTGATTTATTTGTTTATGGAATTTGGAAAGTAGAATATTTAAAAGCTAATTTTAGTAAACAAGTATCAGAATTTTTGAATATTTCAAGTTCTTCTTTAATATTTTATTTTTATTTTTTAAAGAAATTATTTTTTCTTTTAATAGTTTATTTTTTATTGCTGTATTAGCCTGAATAATAAAATCACTCTGTTGAGAAAATGAAATAGAGAAATAATAATTTGGTTAAGATAACAAAAAAATTATAAATTAATTATGAAGATAATATAGAGAAATAATAAACAGATTGAGATGATATAGAAGAATAATAGATAAATTGAGATGATATAAAGAAATAATAAATGGTTTAAGAGGGTGTGGCGACTTAGTGAAGTGGTGAAGTTGTCGCACCCCCAAGTGGTTGAGTACAAGTTCAATTCCCACTGGAG